ATGATCTTTTAAGTTAACCTGAATCTAAAGGACATCAAGAACAAGACTTTCAATCTGAACCCTATTTAGTTTAAGTTTACAATTCGGTGCATCTTTTTAACGGCTTTTTAATTAGTGGCTTTTTGCTAGCAATAAACGAGACGAGCAGCAGAGACTCTTTTGCAAGCCAAAACCTGTCTTCCTTTCCATATCCATTATAATTGAAATCTTGGAAGAGTTTGTCCTGAAACGAGTTCTCATTAAAATGAAAAATGCACAAAATATTTTCGTTATTAGGATCTAGTCGGCATAATAAAGATAAATAAATTACGGGGCAGTTTCCAATTGTAAATTGAATAAAAATTAAATTTAAGTTAAAATGTGAGTTACTGCGCGACATTTTGCATTAAAAATTGTGAAGCTGGATTAGCCCGAAAAAAGCTGGAAAAAAATATAATAAAATCCGTGAATGAAGCCGTAAAATATTGAAATCTGACCCGCACATTTAGAAGCTAAATACCGAAACTAAACCTATCCGAAGTATAACAATTTGAGGTCGACTGCTATTCAAAAAGGCCGAGACCGGACAATAGAAACGGCAGCTTTTGGAGCGACAATTTTAATTAACTTTCTGATTTCGACTCTTTGTTGGCTGCGTTTGGATCCTCCCATTCAATATATTCTGAATTTTTATTTGTACTGGAATTTCACATTGTGTGCGGCTTTTAGTAATCTGAGGTATTTTTTCTCTGCTTCTTCTTATAATTATTGTTGGGTTGAAGTAAGAGGTAGATTTAATGGAAAACGATATATTCTTTACTTTTCGTATTATTAATATACTGTATAATATAAAATATAGGTAGAGTGTGGTTTTTTAGGTAAAATTAGTTCTCAGCGGTGGGCTGATATTGTATACTTTAAAAAGAAACGGAAAGGGTTGAACTATAAACAAGAAAAAGTAATAAAATAATTTGATATTCTCAAAGTTCTCTTAATTAGAAAATTATCATAATGGAATAAACATCGCTAGAAATTATGAATATGAGATGGTAAATCTAAATGAGAATGTGAAGCTAAAGAGAAAAGGCAAAAAAAACATTCATTTAACACAACGGAAATTAAATTTTCCAATTGTTGGTATATTTAAGTAAGCAGATCATCAACTTCGCAATTTCTCGAAATCCCAAAAAGCATTATACAGTTTGAATCTGACCGTTCTGCTTAACTATTTGCAAAAACGTATTTTAAACTCGAGTTTATTTCTTTGTAGTCGTACAAGTGACTAAATATAAATCTATGTAAGCCCGATATAGAACTTCTCTATATATATTATTTTGCTTCATATTATTAATACAATTACTGCTTTGTCCGTTTTCATGATTGATTATGTGAAGTTAATTTTTCAGCGCTTCATTATTTTTACTTTTATTAATTTTAGTTAATATTTAATCACTCAAAAATAAATATTATGTGATTTCACTTGTCATTATAATTTACTGGTTTCAAAATGGCTAGGGATATTCCACACGCATTTTTCATTACCAATGTTCATTGGTAATTCTCCCAATCCTTTACGCAAATCCCTTAAATTAATAGATCCAAAATGACTGGAATAAATTTCCGAAAATCGAAATGCAAATTCTTCCTAATACATCAACCATATTGATCGATTTTAATTATGATCGGTTTATGCGAAAAACTAAATTGTTTCTTCCAGCTCTGGAGTCATCAATCAAGGATCAAGATTTTCGTAGTTTCAAGAATTTGCTCCATCCGATGGCAAGATGGATTATTACGTCTAATCCACAAAAATGAACTTGTTTCCCCGTACGTAAGGTTTGGCTCATTCTGAGACCTTTTTCTGCGGACACTGAATCCAAACATTAAAGATAACAGTCGGTTTAAAGCCGATAAGGCGGCCTATTATTTGAGAGTTTTTTTATTGCTAGATTTATCTGGTTGGTTTCCTGAACTTTTCGGCTGCGAGTTGAACATAAAGCAAAAATTGATAGGGGCAATAAAACAATTATTGAGCAAAAAAAATTGTTTGCACTTCAGCAAAACTGAATTTAATCGTGCAGCAATTTTAGCAAACCTTTGTTTGCTGACTATTTGTTCGTTGCACCTTGAACTGAATATTATAATATTTTTGATTGAATATGTATAATATTAAGTACATTATGTTAATCGTGATCTCAAAATTAAACCAGTTTGCACATGATGCATTTAGCTCTGACCCTCTGTCTATTCAATTTAAACTGACTTGGATCCGAAATATATAAAGAGAGTGAAGGAGTCTGCAAAATGTGGACTAGAGTTGAAAATAGAGCGTTTATGGCTCGCAGGGCGCGATTCATCTTATTTTAAGAGTGCAGGGGCCTTCAAGCAGAACATTACCGAGAATGTGGGACATATTTAAACTGAGATTGATGGTTATCCTGCGAAAGACTGGAATGAATATCCGCATCTCTAAATATAGATTTCCATCTATTTCTATTTGTTTTTCAAACATCGTCGTCAAGTGGCAAGTAGAGTCAGATGATAAATTGCATCAAAATTATGACTTTTTAAATCACTTTATTATTCCATCTCTGATTGTAATATAAAAGCTTGTTAATTCCACAAGTATTTATCCGATACGAGGTCCAGTTACATGTAAATTGGGAAACTGATTAAAAAATTCCACAGTTATGAAAATTTGTAATAACAAAGGTTGCTTCTGTGGGTTTGTATTGAAGTTTAATTAAATGGAAGTCACGAAATTGCACATGCAAGCCTGGTTTTGGTCGCGGAATTTTAATTACTATAAAATTAAAACTACACCATCCGCTGCTTGCCTGTATTTCGTTTTAATAGTTCGCAATTTTTTGTTCCAGGTAAGAATTCTAAATACTAAGGTGCACCAACAGTGGCGCGGTGAGTTGAACATATTTTGTATACTTACTCCATAAGTCGTCTGGCATATTTCCAATAAATTGAGAATTCCACTAAGTTGCAAGAAATGTGCAAAGTAAATTAAATCAAACCAAAAAGCGAACGAATTGAGTTCATTGAAAATAGATTTTCTTACCTGAGAAAGTTTTTCAATGTCTAGCTAAGGAAGAAGTTTAAATAAAAACTCCACAAAGTTTGGAAACTTGGAAACTTTACCCTGGCTGCAGATTTTTCGAACTGTAAGTTACTGCTGCAAGATTTTTATTAGAGCCAGAAATGTAAACCCGATAGATACTCGTTAATGAACGGTTTTAGACATTAACTGTTTCCAGTTTGACTGGCTTCCAAAGAAAACTTTTCATAATTCTAAAATTGGTCACTTTCTAATGCCAGTTTTATTTGAAATTGACACATTTTTTCTATTTCAAATTAACATGCTTAATTACACAACGGCTATCAAACTTGAAAGATTAAATTGGAACAAGCGATTCATTTATTTCACGTTGGCGTTCGAAAAGTTTTAAACCTTCATACCCCAAACAACTCATTACACTCCTTAGTTCCCACTCGTTAGGCCCCATAAATCACCCTTTTTTGTGGCAAAAAAGGAAATTATTTGCCTAAGTTTTAAAACGGGAAGAAGAAATAATTAATTCGAATTACGCGGCAAACTTGATAAGGTTCTCTTGGCTTAGTGAATTATTGAGCTTCGGAAAATCCTACGGCTCGCCTAAAATACTTAGTTTTGCTAATGGATCTAAGACTTAATTCAATATTGATCAGTGTTGTCGAGAATGGAGGCTTAGAGATAATAAGCAGCATTTTAGGCCAATCAGACGTTTATTTTAATTGCTTGGTAGACTAGTTCGATTACTCCTTGAAAGTTCAGCTTTCAATGCATTTTAGTTTCGGTAATATAATTTCACTCAGTAACGGCTAATATAGTATATTTTTGCGGCTTGGGAAGCCACATGAAACAATGGCACATGTAAAGAAATATATAATTAAATGTGGCTATTCAGTCAATAGTTTCCTCGACCCTTTGCAGCAAAGTTGCCTGTTCAACGAACTTGCTTTGCTTTTGCTGTGCATGATTGTTAGGCTTCGTTAGTGATGTCTTCCGATTATACTTTTTTTTCATGTTCAAGTTAAAGCCTTGTTAAAATTGAATATGGATTTGTAATTCTCATCAAAAGTCAATATCTTCTGATTGTGGTTGTTCCAATTTAAGTCTCTTGTAAACCACCAGTATTTACAATTTTTACAAACGCGACTTGCAAAGGAATGCTTTAAAGTGAAGCATTTTAGCATAAATTAATTACAGTTTTTAAATGTTTCAGGCATTTTTGTTTTCTGACAAAGACATGCATTTCAGTCAGCCATTCAAACATTTGATTAGCCATCGAACTTTCCGGCCAGGCCACAAAAACCCTAAAACAACAAAAGAGCAAATTTCGTATCAGCCGAATTTCCGCTGGTTTCGCTTGAGCGAGAACGTAATTTCCTTTTTAAATAAGCCTTTTGATATTTTCTCTACATGTTTTCTATATGTATATGGGCGATCATTGAAAATTTGTCCTTCACATGTTTGAAATAATACTTCCATAAGGTATTTCGCTTGATTAATCCAAGAAAGGACTGATCCAGGTTTCAAAAGGTTACGTTTGGAATTTTGAAGAATGTTTTATTAATAACGAAAAATATTCATGTACCTACTGAACAATAGAAATTAATCAATAAAACATATTGTAAAGTTAGGCAAATCTAGTTGAACAATATATTTTAATTGAAACAAAAAGTTTTAAATAATCGTGATATATCACCGCATACTTCCATTATTAAAACAATATTTTACCGTCAAACATGTGGCTACGCAATTAAACATGCATTACATAGTGCTTTCACGATTTAGTCGAAATGTGGTAAATAAAATGTTTTTTTCGGATTTATATTGTTTATGTGGCTTCAATTAATAATTTGCTGTCTACTTTGAACGTGCTTATTATCATGTATTATATATATTTATAAAGTAAAATAAAAGAAATAATTGAATTTCTTCGACATTTGACTAAAATCGAGAACAATGTTTAAGGTTTAAGCTTGCTTTATAAGGGTTTTCAAGGGGGAACAAATAAATGTGTTTGTGTTTGGATTGTCTGGATATTTTGTCAACAACGTATGAATTGTCTTTGTCCTTTACAATTATGTTCTTTTAAAATTATGAAAAGTTCCGCCTATATCGTCCTCATTTCACTTTACGAGTTTTATGCAAAAGTTACTTTTTTAAAGAATTATTAATAAAAATGTTCAAAATAATTTTGGAAATCGATTAATCTGAAATATTGATAATTTAGGAGGTTAAATATTAGTGCTTTTGCTTCAGAACAAGATTATTAGAAAATACTCAGAAACAGACAATAGCTAATTATGATAGAAAATACTAGTTCAATAAAGAAAAAACAGTAATTCAAAATTAAAATCCAGAAAACGTGAATCACTGCACTTTTTAACCATTCATAATATTAAAGTGAAGGAATATCTGCCTATACATATCTGTTAAATGTTTAAAATGAAAGGGTACCAAACTGTACGAAACACATCAAATTAAAATGTTAGTAAAAATTAATTGCACTCTCGAAATATTTTGGTAATTGAAATATCGCCGAATGTTATTTTCACTGCAACAATTGCTGCTGTAAATAGGAGATATTTGGTAACGAAAATAACGTTTTCGCTCTGTTTTAATAAACAACGTTAAATTGAATTTTAATTTGGGTAATTAAATATTTTTCTGTAATTAACTCTGATTTAATTTAAATATTTAGAGGTTCTATTTCATGAAACGCGACGAACTGAAAGTATTTTAGCCTAGAAACTAATTACTACTGTTTTAATAGTCAAATGTATGGTTTGTTTTGGAAGTAAATTAAAACCGGTTTATTTATATTAATTATATTGAACCATAGTATTAATTCAGAGAGTGAATGACATTAATGGTAGGATTTTGTTTATCGACTTATAACGCATTTTAAATTCAATTCCCAGTTTCAAATGGAACATTTTCTCGTGAAAATTGAATGTCAAGTAAACACTTTATAAAGTATTTTCCTCTATTCATTTAGGCAAATAAGTTCAAATTTATGTTAATGTTTTCTTATTTATGAAAATGAAATCTTTTGAGTATATTATTTAAATTGTGATTACATTGGGCTAAACACGCGCAATAAATCTGTTGTTTCACAAAAAAAATCCATTATTATTATTATTGATTTTTATATTAGGCCGTATCGGCAAAAACATTTGATTAGATGTGTACTTTTAAAAACTGAATCAACATTTAATAAAAACATTGAGTTGATTCGAATGTGACACTGATACCTCATCAATTTCTAAGAATATCAGCTTTCAACACAAAGTATACCATTTTTAGTTACGACTTCTACTTACATTTCTTAAACATGTTTTCACCCACAACCTTTTAAAATTCGCGTCGCAAAACGAATTTTAATTTGCTCTGATACAAAATGAGATTTGCATTGCAAAAGAGCAATGCAGTATGCACAAAAATATTGTTTTAATAATTTGGCTTGAGCCTTCTGGATTTCATTAACCTTTGTAATTAAAACAACTAATCACTTTGTCACTTTAGGCAAATTTCTCCCATTAATAATTTAGAAAACCCTTTCATGCTAATCCTATTTGCTTAAATAACCCAAATTTAATTACTATTTGGGCTTTACGTTAGGAAATTAAGTCTAATATATGAAATTAACGGCTAGGGAGTATTCGTAAACGCCTTTTTAAAAAAATCGGATCGATTTACCCGCGGTTACATATTATAATGTTGATTTAAGTTACAATTTGGATTGCGTTAATTGCGCCTTTCACAAATATATGTATAATAATATAAATAATACAAAGGTAAAAGAAGAAGTTAATTATGACGGATAATTTAGAATTTGCGAATCGACATTTAGTGCAAAAAAGTTAACTTTAACACAAAATATATAACTAACTAATAAATAATAAAAACTGAAAAAATAAGTTACTGTTTCAAATCTTAAAGCATCCAGCATTGTCAACGATGGTCCACGTAGAAACACTATTTTTATGCTTGTATTAATGTTGGGTGGAAAACGTTGAAATAATGTCGAAAATTCGAAAATGCAAATGAACACAAAATTTTGAAATTATTTATAAAATTTAACAGCTTAAATTGTCGTTTAACTGTATCTTTCTGATTAACCATTACATTCCTATTATTTGCAGATTGTAAGTTATGTTTCTCATCTGGTGTTTTCTTTATCCGCTCATTCGTTAAATGTGACAAATTTTCAATGTACCTCTGACAAATCAGGGTAAACGTAGAAAATGAAGCCAAAAAATTATAAGGAATCCATAAAATAAAACCAAAAAGAATTTGTAACAATACATATACATACAATATATTTATCCATAATTTGCTTTATTTTGCTTCTCTTCAATAACAATAACATAGGAAAATCGTATTATATATCAAATAAGAATAACATTTTAAAGCAAATTATTTAAAAGGATTAACTAAAAAGATTTAGCTAAACTAAAATTGCATATAATGCTGGAAACGATAATAAAGAAAACCACATTGGTACTTCTTTCCAACTTTTTGTCATTCACACACACATCCCGACTTGAAGCTTGAACACGAAATATGTATTTGAGGCAATAAAACACAGAGAATATTGATGTTCTCATTTCATGTCACGTGGTATGCTTTAGCAATTTATTTACATCTATTTGCGCCAATTTAAATAATAATGTTAATAATATAAATTTTTATTTCCAATATAGCAATGAGCAATGAATCAGGAGTACAATGAAATGGAGGGATTCTTGTGTGCATCAGTTCTAACATAACAGAAAATTTAATTAACGTAATTCGAAATCGTGTTACACGAATATGTAATTAGATTTTGTTTTGTGTATTTATTAAATATAAATAGGTAGCATTTAATTAATTAAATCAACTAATCCTAGCACATATATTGGTGCAGTTGTTGATAGACGAATCGTTAATATGTTTCTTGATTTAAAAGATTGATCTGTTTTTCAAATGTGAAGGTATCACGTTTAATATTAAAAGAGCGAATTTTACATGCAGGCAAAAAATCTACACTGATGCTTGAATTTGTTTGATAACTTCGTTCTATTTTACAACGCTTTCTTCTATTGTAGGAAAGTCTTTGAGTTATAACAAAATAAAGGAAGAGTTTGATTTTTGTTATTTTCAGGAAATTAAAATTTAATTTTAGTATGTGGATTTAGTATGTGGATATTAATTTTAGTATGTGTTTGCTAACGATAATAATGAAAAATTTATTATTGAAACCAAGTTCACGTTTTTGAAATTTTCATTCATTCCATGAACTGAACTAAATCCAATAACCAGTAAACGAATTTCCAACCAGCAATTTGAATAATATATTTTCCCGTATAAACGCCGCTAAATATCTCCCCTCAACACCAATTTACATTTTAACGTCCCAAAGTATCTGAATATACGAGTACCTTGGAAAATAACGCAGAAGCATTAATCATTTGGAGGCTGAACAGATCCAAACTTTTTCCAGCATCATTTTGAAACAGTTTAGAACTAACTCATTCCTCAACAAACGTTTCCCAAACTTGGCACTTGCAAATTTTGCAAAAGAAAACAAGTGCAGAGCATTCCCAAAGCTCAGAGCAACAAATACAGTAAGGACATTCGGAGTTTTTATTTGATGCCATCAGTTTACAAATACCGTAGGCCTCAAGGGCTGTAGATCAAGCATATCTATTGAAGTTATGTTTTCCAGGAAAATTCAGAAAAAGTGTGGAGGAAAACCAATATTTATTGCTCTTTTTCCGCATTTTATTCTGTTTCGCATATTTCATATTCAGATTTTACAGAAGGAAAACACCCTCAGGCTATAGGCCGATAAAAAAAAGCTACACGGTTGTAAAGTTTTTTTCCTTAATAGCATCTAGAATAAATTTCTTTCAGGCGAACATTATATATTTTTTTGCCGTCTTTGCCTCCAGACTTCCGCGGTGAATTACAATTAGTTTAAGTAGCAGCCTCGATAATATTCACGTGATGTGCATATTGATTTGCTTAATTACTCACTGTAATATATCAAAACTCATGAATAATAATATGGGCTTTACTTTGCAACACTGAACATGTTTGACAATATAACATTTTTAATTAATTTTACACTGACAATATATTATATTATGGAAAAGCTATAACAATATATCAGTATATACATTGCGTCCAGGAAATAAAAGAGGAAGCATTTTTTCCTATATAAGTATTGCCTCGTATTCTTTATTGGTAATACTTTCTAAACTTCTTTCATGACGTTTCGAGATAGGAAATATTTAGATTCAGATTTCGTTCCCAATAACAAGAAAAACAATCGCGTATTTTACTTCACTTATGATTATAACATCATTACGATAAGTTGTTTTCCAGAAAAGTTAGTATTTTAAAAAATGAAGTATTTTTTATATGTAAATATTGCCTTAGCTTCTTCATTGGTAACACTTCATAAAATTCTTTCATTGCGTTTCGAGATCACAAATATTTAGTTTCAGATTTCGCTCCCGATAACAAGAAAACAATCGCTTAGTTACTTTACATTACATTAAACCAATGCACGATTACTGGGACATTGAAATTAATTTTGAATAAATAAATAATTAATTGTAACAATATTTCTTGTAATAAATTAGAATATACAATACAGCTTAAATGTTTTTAACAACGAAACTTTTTCATAACGAAAATTAATTTTAGTAACATGGCAACCAATAAATAAATATTGAATTTTAAAGTTTATTAAAGCACTTTTGCATGCATCTGTAATCGTGCATTGTTTTACAAAAATTGATTTTTTTCGGTTTTCTGGAGAACCATCTATTTTGTGAATAAATAATATTTTTAACTGAAAAAATGAGAGTTTGCAATTCGATTTTAAAAATAATGAAATGTCACAAACAAAAATGATTAAAACAGTTTTACATAGGAATATCGTTTCAAACTAGCTACAGTTAATTTTTAGCAATACTGTAAATCTGCAGTCATTCATTTTCTAGTAAGTTGCTAAAAATAGGAATATTTATTTACTTAAAAAATGAAGAATTTTTGGATTTAGTATAAAAATGATTGTGAATTAACGAGGTTCTGAACAGCAGGGTTGCTGCAACGAGGTTTTGCAGCAAATAACACTTTTTTAATTAAATTATTCTTAAATTCTATAATTTAAGAATATTTTAATTCTCCTTAAATATTTCTCCAAATTTGTTGTTACCAACACATTGTCCATTTGTTCTATTAACCAATTTCATATCTTTGCATCACAATTTCATTAATTTTTGTCATTCACAACTAGCACATACAAAATTTTCTGATGATATTTGTGTCCTATCTTTCCTCCATAAAATATTAATTACTTTTTTCTGTATCGGGTTGGGACTATATAATTTTATGGAATTAGGTCAATGACTTTATAGTATTTTTTATTTGTATTTAATTCAAGATGTATAAACAAAGTACGCTTATCACAATATTTGATGTTAAATTTTTAGTCCTATCACAAAGAACTTAACTTAATATATTGTTAACAAGATCACTTAATGACAAAACTTAATTCAAATCTAAATTTTTACATAAATTATTAACAATGATTATTGCTGCTTAAGACAGAATACTTGTCAAGTCAACAATTGAAAGAATCGTGAAACGAAAGTATTGCAATTTAAAGAATTTTGCCCAAAGGAAAGGTCACTGATTTAGTTCAAAGTGATTATGGATGATGTAAAAATAATAGTGCTGGATTACGAAGATTTCGTAAAAAATTTGATTTATGATTAGCGAATTTAATATAACAGGATATGTAATTGAATAAAATATATTTTTAAATAATTAATTAATCCGTAATATAATGTAAATAGGTAAATATATAAATTTAATTGGTTGGCATATACATCAAGTTTAAAGTTAGTTAGATAATGTATACAAATAGAACGTAAAAATAATATTAAAAATAAGAATAATGGCATAAGGAATGAAAACCACCTAATAATACTAGCATATCATCAAAACCCGCCAAACCAGAGCTTAGTCCAATTAAAACATAGTTTTCTTTTCAACTTTCTCCGTTTTCCTGTAGAATTATGCGAAAAACTTCTTCTGCAGATTGAATTTCATCTAAAATACGTGTTCGTTTATTGAATATTAAAATTGAAGCCTGCGAGATAATCTCGAGGAGTAATCGAAAACTGATTGCCGGGAAAATAATTTACGATGCGTTCAATTATAACATGCATAAAGTAAAGGACGCGGCTTAGAAATTTATGAAAATCACCTGTGCATAATTCCTGAGAAAGGGCAGCAAATTGCTCATCCACATTTTCAACCTTATCTGAAATATAATGTATAATCTGATGTATACATATTAATTGTTTAAATTCTAAAATACCTTCATGTAGCTGTTGATGCAGTTGTTCGAACTGCTTATCCTTGTATCCAATTCCGTCTGAAATGCGTTGTCAGGCACCAGTTTTATATCATAAAAGTATATTATTTTAAAAAGTCGAATAGGGAAATCTTAAGACTATTATTGCATAAATGTTGAAAAAAAATTGTTAAAATCTGAATGAAAATTTCTTACGTAAGTTTTAGCGGTTAATTGCGATATGATTAAATAGTAATATACACAAAATACCTTTACTTAACTCTTTATCAATCTCTTTGGCTTTTCTGGGGGGTTTTCGAATGTTCGCTGGAATGTATTGAGAAAGAATTAATTTACCATTTCCTAAAAAACCTCAGATAGGAAACAAATTGTAATGTATACCTGAATGTTGTTCTTGGTTTCTTGGTTGGGTTGTTTTCATCACATTTTTAATGTCAATGCTTTTGGCATCAACTTCGAGGTATTTTTTCCTGATTTTTAGCGGTCGATTTATTGGTTTGTTTCTTTGAAGTTTGACAATTTCCGGCTTTCTAACATCGCAAATGGAGTCGATTGATATATCTACAGTTTGAATGGAAAATTACTTTTGTTTATATTGTACATCAACAATTTGATTACTTTATTAATTAATTACTAATTAATATTAACACCCAGTAGGGATTGATATGTTAAATAAATTACGTATTTTCATAATTCAAACATTTACCTCAGTCAAACAAGTTTTATTACGTAATTTCTGTTTTATCAACAATATAATTAGTATGAATTATTTTTTAATTTAGAATTGAATTCATTGAGATACACTTTGAATTGTTACTTTTGAATTTTTCTTGATTACGCTCCTCCTTCCTTCTTTCGTTCAAATTTTTAATTCGGTCAGTATTTTGCGGAGCAGCATTTTGCTGATTTATTTTCATGGGGCGTTTCAGTGACTTCTGCTTTTGGAACTTGATATCATCAGGTTTACTCACATCATGAAAGATATTGGCCGATAAATCTGTATTCGACAATAAATATATTAGTTAGGCTGTGACTTTTCGTTCGTTTTATTTTATAAAACTTATATGTTATTCTATTTCGATATTTAATTGATTTATATAAATACAATACGATTGATACCTATGTATTCTCCTTGGTAAAGTTTCGAGTTTTTTCTGTTCGCATCTTCTATTAACTCAATATTTATTGGACTGTTTTCCTCGCTAATCTTCGCCGGACAGTTTGCCGACTTTTTCTGTTCGAACGATTTACTCTGAGGCTTGAGATCATCATTAATGGCATCGGTTGATAACTCTACACCTAGAGATCAAAATATTCTTATGCATAGCGAGGATCAAAAGCTAATTACTAAAATTAGGTCTAGACATACTTTTTACTACTTTTTGGTGTTTTTTTATTAAACTATTCCAGTTAGCACTGGTGATTCGATTTAAGTTTTGGTACGTATTTTAAGGTCAATTTATCAAACTCCATTGTTCATTACTCACTGCTAATTACATCAAGTAACAACGTTGAGTTTGCTATGGGACGATCGAATATTGTGTTTGTGGACAAATGTGGTTTTTTTCGACGGGGTGCCATTCCGTCATTTCTTCGCTTTTTCGAATTCATGTTTTCTAAAAATAATGAAATTCAAACAGTTAATTCAATATTATTGGGGGATTATAATTAGTTTCATTTACATTTTTGTTTGATACTACTTCTACTAAGTTACCATTATATCGATATTTGAGAGATATTAACGGAGTGAATAAACAACTTGTTGTTATTATTTAATTATTTATTACGGCAAGCTTAATGAAATAAATCACGAACAGAAACCAAAACTGCATGTGGAACAAATTTATTTAAATGGTATATATTTTGTAATAACCTAAGTAATAAACGAGGAATATAATTAATTGATAATGGAAAGAATTTTCTTAAAATGTAATTGTTTATTATATTACATGTTACTTTGCTTTGTCTCAGGGTAGTTATTTAACATGGGCGTCACTAAAATAACGAATATTATTACTAACCTTTATTCCTCGCTTTGGATTTGCTCTCGAAAATATCTTTCAGTTTTGATACCGAAACATTAAGGTGGCTGACATCAAAAAACGAATTGTTTGATCCACTGTCGTGGAATTCGAAAGATGAAGAATCTTCATCTGATTTACTATTGCTAATCTGTCTTTCAAAGACAAGTATTAAATCCCTTACATCAATTGTTCCAATATTTGCCATCACTGGAATCCTAAAATTATTTAATAAATGCACACTCAAATATTTCATTGTCCAGTTTGACTGTGGATACTTTTATAATTCTACATTGAAGTGCATATGAAATTGTTCGAAACATTAACCAACTTGACTGCTGAAAATAAATTACAAATAATTACCCTGAATTAATTTAACTTCACTCATCATCACTACGCTTGTAAATTTCAATATACACTTTGCACAAATCCTAGTAGGTTTTGCTGCTTTCAGTTCAACAACATATTCATAAATATCAATATTGGAATGTTTGAAATACGAAAGGAATTAATAAATACCCACACTTCAGTCCAACTGATGTTTCTTAAATATTAGTTTTGTTAGTTTCTTAATTATTAGTTAGTTTTGGGTGCGATTTTTTCACAATAAAATCAATGGCAGTTAATTAATATGCCTAGGATTATTTATAAAGTTAAACGAGTATTGGTCTATTTTTAAACAATAAATTTTTTTTTGCAACAAATTATTCCCAACTTGCCCTTAATTCCATCCAACTTTTAAGGTGTTTGAACGCCAAGTGTAATGTTGAGTTTGAACTAGTTTTTAATTAGTACAGTCCTGTATGGCTTGAATATGAAAAACCGGTAAAACTTGATACTTTTTACGGTATTTCAATATAAACACACTTGCTTAGTTAATCAATATAGAAATATAGATTTTAGTTAAGCATTCAACACGCCAGACTGTATGAATTTTATAATATACTTCGGTTTATTAAAACATTAAAACAAGAAACAAAAATGAAAAGTAAAGAGTAAACAAAATAATACTTTCTGGTTGAGTTAACAGATTAAAATTGAGTTTAGATAATCAAATTTCGTTGTAGCTAAACCTGTATTTACAGCTGTTTTTCATTGAAAAGTGGATCCCAATTAACATCAAAGATGCCCTATCCAAATATAACATCAGAAATATTCTTTGATACCGATTTGGGAGTTAAGCTCGTTAAAAATTTGCTGCGTGGGTTCATCTGAAATCACTTAATTTGCCCATTTATTAACGATTCGAGTAACAACGTTGGAAAGTTTCACTTGAAAAATAAAATGTTACGATCAATTTTCGTTAAAAGCGAGGCTGGCTTTTTTCGAGCATGTATCGTTACAGAAAAGTTGTATAAAAAATTTGGTTTTTATGGAAATGTAATTTGCCATAACGAGAACTTTTAAAAGTAGATCACTACCTGAAACCAACTGAATCAAATGCGAGTCCGCATTGGCAGCATTGGGGAAAATGTTGAAAAGTTTACCACTTTTCGACATATTTAGGAAACTACTTCAGCTGGAAATCTCAACGAGTGTGGAGAGTTCTGTTAAAGTTTCACTACGGTTCATTTTTAATTAGACTACCTTCAGAGCTTTATACGTTTGCTACAAAAGCGACTATACAAACAGAAAGTTGCAAATTTGGCCTATTTCGTGCTGAATGAAGATCGAGTTTTCATTCGACAGACTTAGTACTTACAAGAAGTTGACAAAGCTGGAAAATTGATGTTTAGTGAACACAGCCTAGTGAATAGCAATCCTGCCGAGTTTATCGAGCCGGATTAGCCGAAAAATATTCAATTAGATCAAAATGAAGAAATAAAAGTCAAATTGAAAAAAACAAAAATGCCTAGTTTTACAAGAAGGTTGAATACTTGATTCTCTTTTATGCAGTATTTTTATTTCTATTTTCATGGATTCTGTTCGGACATTCGCTGTTTTTGGCGTCTCTGCGTGTATCATTGCCTCGTTTTAAGCCGATAAATTTTACTGCTCGTCAGAGAAATAGACTAAATTATAATGACGAATGAGACTAGTAGTAGAAACAAGTTATTGCTCTTAAAATTAAAATTTATATTTTGCTATTTCCTTTTAGTTTTTCACTTAAAAGACTGACGTGCGAATAGAACTCCCTTTCATTTAAAATTTTAACTAGATTTCGTGTTTCTTTTGAATTGGATTGTATTCAGAGCTACCATTGAGCGGAAATAATTATGAAAAAGTCCTAGCAAGACTGGCACTGGCATTTCATTAGGCGGAGCATCAAACAAATTACTTTCCTACAATTGTTTTTCTATTAACTATTGTAGATTGTTTGCGATGGGATGCTGTCCATGGTAAATTGTCTCTTTAATAATTTGCATATTACAACATTATATCAGCAACGTAATTTAATGCCAAACCTATTTGGCAAAATATAAAATTTAAGTTACTAAATTGTAGGATACCAACTCTGATAAATCCCAACCTTACAGGATACTAACTACCTTCAAACTCATAATAAAATATAAATAAAATTACTGATAAAATAAATCGTTTTTAGTTTAAATCGCCTTCCCTATAACTATCGGTATATCTAAATTCCGTAGAGGAAATAAGTAAAACAAATTTCATGAAACATAAAAGTAATGCAATAAATATAAACTGCATAGTAAAAAATTGAAGGTTTAATTACTTACTTAAAAACATTCCAAACAAATATTGCAATCAAAATATAGAAGAAGAAGAATATTCTAGAATAAAGTTAATCCGATATAATTTATAATTGTAGAAAAAAGGTAATTCAGAAATTAATAGAATTTCTAAATAATACAAAATTAAAGAAATTATTGATAAAATTTGGCCTAATAAATTTAAAGAAGGAAGGACACAATAAAACTAATCGTAATGGTAAATTAGGTAAAATATTAATAAATCTTTTATTCAGAAATAGACTAATAATGAGTTCGCTCATCCAGAAAATTTGCTAAATACAATAACCCAGAAGACTTTAAATCATGGGCGAATATTAAAAGTTAACCCCCCCAAGCTCCCATAATCTTATAGTTAACTAACTCTTAAAAAAAACTCTTAAAAAAAAAGTGGTCAGGATATTTAAATTAGGCTGCGCGTAGCTGAGTTTCTTGTATCGAATTGATAGTTACAACCTTATATATTTTCCTAGTAAATTTATTCTTTGAAATATTTTACTACGCACTTTTAAACATTTTGTTCCTGACTCTTTTTTAATTTAACGTAAAACGCCGTTTCCGGCTTGCAATATTCACACACACAAATTAAGATGTGGGCTCGGATAGGTGTAAATATATAAATATGACCAAATTTGTATGCAGCAATTGCTGAATTTGGAACAATCTTTCAATGGAGATCAACATTTCTATTTATTCAGTTTGGTCTAATGTCAATCTCATCCACTTAATTTTACTAAAACCATATGATTTCAATATTGTATTGGATTCAAAAATAATAAGTATTCTTAATTGGCCTCACAGATCTCCAGTTATAAAAATATTAGACTTTTTCATATGTGATTATTTGGAATCTTAATTTATTTTTCGTATTTTCTCACACTCTCAAAAGAATGACTGTGGTATGAATGGTAGTGGTAGAAATTCACTTGTGGTACGTTCGGTTCACTAACCTTAGTTTGCAAAATATGCACAATCATATTTATTTTTTTAACCAATATATTTTTTTAAAAAGCTATCTATTAAACTTCAAAAGCGTTTTGTTTATTATGAAATCGTTATTTCCGGGAATATTTACGTTATATTTTGTACAATATAATACTAAATTCGTCTCCGGATTCCTGACTTTTGATGAAGCACTTAAAATGATTACAATATTTAATTAATACAAATTAAAATTTGATCATCTCGTTTATTAAACGGCGGTAATAGCGACCATAATTGTTCTTCTTTGCTACAGGGGTACGGTAATTCAATAGCTATAGCTTAAAACCCCTCTGAAGCCATTTTCGACTTAAAATTGACCACGAAATACGTTTTTAAGCCTATTAGCTATGGCCATGAAGTCACAGAAGATCCTGTAGATTTTAACAACAGATCTTTTCTGTTGGCTATCTGCTTTAAACATTTCAACGTTTTAGCAATATCAATAAGAATTAAAGGTGCAACGAAAATAACACATTTCTGTGACGATAAATTAGATTTATAAGCAAGCGCTCCAAAAGCAAATACGTAGAAAATGCCTAAATAATTAAAAGTCGGCAAAAATTTAATGATTCAAAGTGCTAAAAAGCCGGATCGTTTAAATTTCGGGTTGGACGCTGTTAGTACACTGGCTTAGCCTTTTTCTCATTTTTAGGTCGGCCAAATAATAGCGTCGCATTTTTCAACCCGAAAAAAACAGCATCAAGGGTTTAAAATGCAAATAAACGTTAAACACTGTTCTGTGTGGTTTAAAAAATAACTGATTTTCCTGCAAGCCCATATTTTCCTAAAACCGCCAGCGATTATAATATAAAATGTAGAGAGACGCTATAAACTAATTTGGATATGGTACTGAATCCACAGTAATTTACCAGGCCTGAAACTTGAAAATTTTATTGAAATGCGATTGTTTTTGAAACCTCTTTTCATATGCAGATGGAATATGGGTTTCTACAATAGAAGGAACTAAACAACAAAATGTTTTTCAATTCCCGAACGAACTTTGTAGGCCCCCATTTTAAATGTCTGAATAGAGTTAATGAGCTTTTAAGCTTAAACGTTCACTGAAATACTGTTTGTTTAAAATTGCAGACATTATTTCTGGTCCATTTGGATTGAAACAGCTTAACAAAAAACACCACCACTGACATCGGCTTTACTATTCAACCAGAACAGTCTGGCGCTGATAAAATTTTAAGCATGTTTCATACATTAAATGCGAAAAATTCCTATGCACAAATTCTCCGGTGCCCAGTTGTTTGATGTTTGCTAGGTCAGAGCTTAAAAAGTTTGGCAATGGTTTAACTGATGTTTGAAAAACATTTATGGTAAATGCCTGGAAATTCCAGTGAACTTTTCGGGTTTGCAAAATGTACAAAATGATGTTAAATATGTTTTAAACGATTTTGGAAATTTGCGAAATTCAGTATATTTAGTGCAGAAAATGTGCGTTGATTCGGTGTGGGTTTGGGATTTTTGAATCAGATAACAGATAGTGTTTATGAATTTGTTAAATTTATAAATTTTCAAAAATGAAATACTGTTTTAATATTTGAAATTTAATATATAATAAATAATTTAATAAATTAAAGTGGAAATATACGTGTAGGTACGGCCGTTATAATAATGTAATAGGACTAACTTCTGTATACTATTACGTGCATTTGGTTAAAGAGTTATTCTGTCTGTCATGTAATTACAATTTTTCAGCAGTTATTTGTTGCTGTCACATACTTGAGCAAATTTTTTAATTGCAGCAATTAAAAACTAGCCGACATTTTCCGTCAGTGCAGTAATTTCAGACCGC